ATTCAGTACAATCCAAGACCTGCCATCAAAGCACAAGCCCTAGCAGACTTCATAGCAGAATACACCTTCAGCTGAGCCCCCGAAGATGCTGTAGGGAACTGCCCGACCGAGGAAGCTCACCCTAGATAGGAATTAGAGATAATTTGGAGATAAAAACTCTAGTAAATTAGAGATAAGTTAGGAGATAAATAGGAATTGGAGATTATTTAGGAAAAAGTGGGAGAGGTAGTTTAAGATAAATTTTAGGAGAAGAGATTGTTGGGGAAGGAATGCATCTCATTGGTTCTTTAAAAAATGATATGGAATAAAAAAATAAAAAAAAAGAGAAAATTTCTTGACTGCTTTATTTTAATATATATGTATATATATAGATGAGCCACTTTGAAGTTTGAAGAAGTTACTAAAATAACTAGGTTAGGTGAAAAGGCGAAAAGCTACGAGGGGTGGTCCCACCATTCCTATCTTGCAATTTGCTGATGACTACATCATTTTCTCAAAGACCTGAATTAATGCATGTCTAAAAATAAAAGAAATTTTGGATAAGTTTGCTTTGGCTTTTGGGCAGGCTCCAAATTTTGTTAAATCAACCATACATTTTCCTAAGAATATTCCTCATAGGTGCCAAAAATATTTGTCTAGAATTCTAAAAATTCCTCTTGAGAGTAAAAGTATAAAATATCTTGGGGCCCCTATCTTAAATGGTAGAGTGTCAAAGGATCTTTTTAAACCTCTTTTGAATCGAGAAGAACACTCTTTTTGCCGGGGAAACTCACCCTTGTGAGTTCAGTTTCGAGCATGATTCCCTAGTTTGTAATGAAATCCTTTAGAATCCCAAATAATGTTATTGATTATATTGACAAGGTGTAAAGGGATTTTATCTTGTCAAAATCTAATGGAAGGAAGCCTATCCATCTTTTAAATTGGAATGGAGTTTGTACCCCTAAGGCTTGGGGTGGTTTTGGGGTTAAAAAATCTCAAATGGATGAATAAGGCCTATTTAGCCAAGCTCGGTTGGAAAATTTTAACTGAGAAGGATAACTTATGGGTTAAAGTGATGGTTAGTAAATATCTTAAGAACAAGAATTTGTGGGATTCCAACCCAAGGAAGGGTATTTCTTGGGCTTGGAGAGGCATTCTCTCTACCCATGACCTTATTAAAAGAGGGATGGGTTAGAATATGGGTAACAGTGAAAACATAAATTTGTGGAATGATACTTGGGTTAGTAACTCGCTCGCCTTCTTGATGAGGCCGTCCATGAGAATGTTGTTAATTGGGATCTTTGTGTTTCAAATGTGATTGATAAGGAAAGGAATATTTGGAAAGAATATTTGATCTCAACCTTGATCCCTGTCTCTGCTTGGCATCGTATAAAACCGATTTTAATCCCTTTAAGTAATGAAGATGATAAACTTGTGTGGAGACCTTCTTCAATTGGGAAGTTCTCAGTTACATCTGCATACAATGAAGAAAGTTATGTTATTAGGGGTAGTGGATCTATTAATAGGATTTTGAATAAAGTTTGGAGGCTTAACCTACCCCAAAAACTTAAAGTCTTCCTCTTTCTTGTGCTCAACAATAAACTGCCCTCTAAATGTAAGCTTATTTCTAGGGGAGTCAATATTGACATTACTTGTAACCACTGTGGTGAGAACGAAGATTTAGACCATATTTTCTTCACTATAGCTATGTGAAACAAGTTTGGCAGATTGTTTCTTCTAATATCCCTACTCCAAACAATGGGGATACGACCATTGTAAACTGGTGGTTAAGGCTTGAGAGCTTTTTTTTTATGATTTGGAGAAATTTGGAAAAATAGAAACAATTTTGTTTTTAATAATAAGCCTAATCCCCCCTTGATCCTCTTAAATAAGGCTCTTCACCTTTTCTATGAAGTTGGGGCTAGTTGGTCTAAGGAGGGGATGACGAGTGGGATTACAAGTTCGAAGTCCATTGTGTAGAAAGCTAGCTCCAAGAATGGGAGTGGTTAAAATTAACTTTGATGCATCATGTAATCAGTAGGGTATGTGTTTGGTGGCTTGTATTGCTCGAGATCATAGAGGGTTGGTGCTTGACTTCAAAGCATACTTCATAGGGAGTGCCTCCATTTATGTAGTTGAAGCTTGGGCCGCTTGGGAAGCACTAAACATCACCATCAACTTCAAGGATTTGTCCATTGTGATAGAGGGAGACTTGAAGCTTGTCATCGACTGCCTAAAAAAGTCTATTGATCCACCATTGAGATTAAGGAATATCATTGAAGATTGATGGAACCTGTGCTTGTTTTTGCCTGTTGGGGTCTCGTTTGTCCATTCATATCGGGAGGAAAACTAAGCTATTGATTGGCTTGTGCGAAATGTTTTGATTGGTGAGAATTTTTCTCTAAATTGTATTCCATGGGATCTAAGATTTATTTGTTCATGTGACTTGCGGGGTCGTGCTACCTTGGTCTTGTATAGCACATCTCAGCTTACAAAAAAAAAAAAAGCATAATCTGGGTTTCTAGATTTTTTTGCCAACTTTCTGAATTTTTTACCAAACATAACTCTTAGACTTTCACGTGTGAGGCCTACCTTGCAACAGAAAGCCACTGTGTGAAAGCCTTCCCAATGAGCACCAAGCATTGATCAACCCTATTTAGAATTGGATCTTAAAAGACACCATATTTAGAATTGGGAGTCGAGGGACTAGCATTTAAATTTCAATTGTAATTGTGACCAAGGTTCAAAGTATCGGAAACACCAAGTGTATCAAAAAGACAATTTTAAGAAACATATTGAGATATGCCTTGGATACGCATGTGTATCGGAGAAAAACTAAGATACACATAGATACGCTTGGAAACACTATAAATACTTTAATAAATCATAAAAATATATCAATAACACTAAATATAAGACCTCAATGAGGTGTATATACATTAAATTAGTATATTTTAATGGTTTTATGAAGACATATATTGTAGGTAATTATAATTTCATTAAAAACCCTATGCTTAACTATAATTTGTCAATTATATATCTTAAGTTTTAATGTTTTATGGGATGGGAAAACCCAACTCTCCTATCCAACCATAAAACATGCATTGGCTCAACTTCTAAGTGAAAACATAATCAATAATTATTTATTTTCAAAAATTATAAAAACTAAATAAGCATTATATAGTATATTCAAAAAATAGTTATTAAAAAGAAATTTCAATTGCTTCGTGGATATGATAGATCATCCATAGAATTATAATATATTCAGTCATTGTGATCAAATGATAAAATATAATTAATTAATTATTTATTTTTTAATTCTAAAAATAAAAAATAAAAAGTAATTATTAAATAAGAAATTTCAATTAGCCTGTGTATATGATAGATCATCCATAGGATTATAATATATTCAATTGTTGTGATCAAATGATAAAATATAATTAATTATTTTTATTTTTTAATTCTAAAAATATAAAAAATCAAAAAAATACTAAAGAATAAATTTCAATTTCTCTATGGATATGATAGATAAATACATAGATTCAAAACATATTTAGTCTTTATAGGCAGAGAAAAATTATATTTTCAAATTTTTTATTAATTTATATTTTTCCCAAATATCTTAATGAAATTTCCATAAATTTATTAATAACACAAAAAAAATTATGATTTTGAATGTAAGAAATATAGATCAACATAAATTTAATCATTCAAGAAAAAAAAAATCACAAGATATTATAAAAAATTGAAAAACTTAACCTATTTTTGCCATGTTTTTTCAAAATTTGAAAAATTTTCAAAAAAAATTAACGATTCACATTTGTTTCTTGCAAATTTTAGCAAATCTAGCACTCTAGGAATGAAGTTTGGAGTTTTAGAGTCATTTGGCGGGGGGTAGGGGGTGGGGGTGAAAGGTGGCTTATTTCAGGGAAAAGAAGCTCGTTTTTCCTCTTTATTTTTTTTTCCAGTTTTTTGCCGTATCTTTTTCGTTGATATGCTACCGATACGCCCCGATACAGGTCCGATATTCATGAAAAAAGGACGACATGCCCGATTTCCATGCGTATCCCGTATCTGTTTTCCAAAGATATGATACGATATGCCCTGTATCGAGTGTATCGTATCGAAATTTTAAACCTTGATTGTGACATGTGACTACGTGAGATAGCATGCCAAAGAAAGGGAAAATTCCACTTTAGTACCTTGAACTTTGAGGGTAGTGTCAAGTTTGATGAGGGCGGATTTGGCCCTCCAATGACATTGTGACACATGGCACCTCAGAACAACTAGATGACACCCGGAACCACTCAGGCAACAACTTGCCAAGTTGATGGTGTCCAACCTGGCGGCCTGGTCCAGGCGCTGACCTGGCACATGCGTTGACCTAGCGACCTGCGAGACGTGTCCGCCGACAAATTCGGCATGCATACCCCACGATCCTTGAAGGTTGGCCCTCGTTCCGGAAAATGGTCAACGTGCATGGCAGTTACCTCCGAGGTTCTCGGATAGTTATATATGACCTCCCGGAGATCTCGGGGGCAGTATGTGAGCAAGGCCTATATAAAGGCATGTAGCTCCACTTCAGCTTTGAGTCATCGGCCACTTGGAAGCAGACCAAAAGACGAGGTACTTAGCCAAAAAATCGATACTTAACCAAAAATTGATTCTTCAAAGTTAGTACCCGAACTTTTAAATGTGTCACTGTAGTACCTAAACTTTCAAAAAGTGTTAAGTTGGTCCCTATCATTAACTAACTTCAGTTATTTGTTGAAAATGTCAAAACTATCCTTTACAAGAAGACACTGTTCATTAGTCTAAAATCTCAAACACCTTTAATTGGTTTAGTCTCAGGATAGAGGACAATGAACAGTATATTCTTGTGAAGGATACTTCTGACATTTTCAACATATAACTGACGGCTAGTTAAGGGCAGGGACCAACTTGGCTGTTTTTGAAAGTAAGTATAGATAGTGCAGTGTCATGTTTGAAAGTTCGGATACTAAGTTGACACCACCCCCAACTTCACGGTAATAAAGTGGAATTTTCCAAAAAAAAAATTCCCATCCCTAACTTGACACTGCCCACAGAAGTCTACATCGTCTATTGCAACACAAGAAAAACCCAGTTATAGGGTTCTTCTCTCTTCTCTGAGAGAGGAGATGAAGTTCACAGCAGCCTTTGCAGCAGAGATTGTACTTTGAGGTTCGTTCCGCAGCTCTCTAGGTTGGATTTGCACACGTACTTTCAGTTTCTTCCTTGTGTTTTAATTCTATGTAGAAAATTTGGCGGTTTATTCTTCATCTTCATTTTCTTCTTCTTCTTCTTCTTCTTCTTCTCCTATGTGCTTCATTTCACATGTGGGTCGAATTTGGGTTAGGGTTGAGGTTATCCGATCAATAGGGTTATGGTTTAGGGCTCGAGTGTTGTTGTTTTGGCTTTCATTCTGCAAGTTTGCAAGTCCGCAAGTCTGGAACTTTCTCCACCTCCGCCTCTTCGCTGTTTGCTCCGAATACAGGGAAGCTTCGAGCATTGTGGGGGTATTTGCTCCGTCGTGCATCGAAGATTCAGGTTTCTCTCTACTCTCTTTTTCTTCCAGAGCGGGACTCGATGGCTACTACTGTCTCTGTTCTCTGCAAACAGAGCAGTCATTTCACCTCGAATTTCTAGTTTTGTTTATCGTATTTTGTTTGGGGATTCTTTTTTTTTTTTTTATTTTAATGTTTTTCTTTTCTTTAAAAGAAGAACTTTCCTTTATTATTACAACTGCTTTCCTTTTCTTTTGCTAGACGTAAGGGGGAAAATAAATCTGAAATAAGAAAAGACAAATGAACCAACAATGGTTTCGAATTATCAGCAGAAAATCATTGATTTGTCCCTACCCTTGCTTTTGAATCTGCTAAAGCATTGGTAGATCATCTAACAGTAGTTATCCCTACATTTTATTTTCTTGACCATAATATAAAAATTAAATGCATTCCTTTGTCTATATTTTTCAAGGATGACCTCGATTAATCAATGGAAAGGGCTTTTTGCCAGCAGAACCATTTGATCCTGCCTTCAAGGAAGGAGACATTCAGGTACATCTTTGATGTCTCTAAAGTTCAGTTAGTGTGATGATGAATGTTTATTCTTTAGCTTGTCAGATCTTTTTGGAGATCTTGGTCTACAAAGGAAAAATGTTTATTGTTGAGCATAGGCCAGACAGTGCAACTCTTTGTTTAAGATCTCTATCATTTCCACTCTTAAATATACAAACAATGAATTTTGTAAGAGAAAAGGTAGGATAAACAAGAAGAGGAGTAGAGGACAAAATGCCTCCAAACCAGAGGGATAGAAACTATTGGAACCCCCAAGCTCTTTCCTCATAAAGGCCTCTGTTTCATAGAGTTTGTCACTGAACTAGGTAAACATATGCTTTGGAATTACTCTAATTTAAGTTTTTTGCCATTTCTTTTGTGACTTTGGAACACTGGATTTAGGTATAAATCTCTTAAGAAGTAGAGGCTGATTTAAAGTATTTTGAAGTGGTATTGTGCAACTGATGGTGGTACTCTACTACAAGTATCTCTAGAGTCCTACTTGTTTGTGGGTCAGTTAAAGGTGTTATTGTTGATCATGCGGCCCTGTGAACGTTTTGAAATACTTGGCTGTTTCTGGACAGGGTTGAAAGGTTGGTGAGTTCCTACTATGAGTGTTTAGATGGGATAGGCTCCAGAGAAATGATATTGTTTTAGATGCTTCTTTTAACTGATATTGTTTTAGTTGTTCTTATCTCCAACATTTGTGTTTGGTGCTTTGTTTACTAATACCCTGCTTGACAGTAGTGGATTTAGATACTTTTCCTGCTCAATCTCCTGTTGAATGGAATTATATGTTTAATTGTAAAAAATCTCAGTTTGCATGGTATCACATTGATTTGAGTGGAAAAACTTTAAAGAATGGTATCTCTGTATCAGAGATGTAGTCATTCGAAGGAATGCAAGGAGTAGCTCCAATAGATGATACAATGAAAGAAAGTAGACTAAGTTTGGTCATGTGCATAGAAGACCATCAGCAGAACCTTTTAGAAGAAGTGATCTGCTGCAAATTGATAAGGCTAGAAGAAGAATTCATTTGAGTGGAAAAACTTTAAAGGATAGTATCACTATATCTGTATCAGAGATGAAGTCATTCGAAGGAATGTAAAGTGTAGCTCCAATAGATGATACAATGACAGAAAGTTGACTAAGTTTGGTCATGTGCATAGAAGACCATCAGCAGAACCTGTAAGAAGAAGTGATCTGCTGCAAATTGATATTTGGACCTGGGTTTCCTAGAATGAGAATCTATTGTCTGAAATTTTCTGCTTTTATTTGGATGATATAATTTTTTTAATTTTCTATCACAATTTCTGTGTTTTTTTTTTCTGTAAATTCTGCTTTAATTTATCTGAAATATATATTTTTAATTTTCTATCAATTTATATTTTTGTGCAATTTCTGATTTTATTTGATTAAAATATATATATTTTTAAATATTCTATAAGTTTATATGCTGATAAAAATCTATGAATTTATTTGTTTTCCTGCAATTTCTGCAATTTTTGAAAATTTCTCTTAAATTGGTCAATTTCAGTTACATGGGTTGACCGTACTTGGTTCTGTCATGTGGCAGCAAGAAGGGACAGAGTTCTGTTTTCTCTTAAATTGGATCTTTGGAATATGTAGGAACAACCCAGTTCTGCCACATGGTAGCCAGAAGGAGGGACAGAATTTTGCTCTCTTAAATTGGAATTTTTAAGTATATGGGTCGACATAACCCAATTGTCCCATTCGAAATAGAGAAAAAGAAAAAAATGTTGAGTTTGAGCAAGCAGGTCAAAGTGGGTGTGTTTGGCTGAATTGCAACCCATTAATTTGTATATGGAATGGGCTGTCAATGGATGAGTTGGTATTCAACCTGCCTATAACCCAGCCTAATCCATCATCCATTTTCCACCCCTAAAAATATGTTGGCTAAACCCATGCTTCGATTTTCCTTTTTATTTATTTTTGATAAATAAATGAACTTTTTATTAATTTGGAAATATTAGCACATACAAGCAGCCCTTGGAGAGCCACAGGCTGCGATCTCTCCACTAAAGAAGAAAACAAAAGTAATAAGTTACAGTTGTGCCCAATACAAAACTTCCCTAGCTGCCCCTTGCTTGGCTAGACAGTCTGCCATGGCATTTTCTGAACTCCCCACCCATTGTATTCTTAGGTCCATGTTTCTTGTCAGCACCTTAAACTTTTTAATTTCATTCCTGAAGCACCAAACTACTGACTTTGGGTTCTGCAACCTGCTTATTACAACCTTTGAGTCACCTTCAACTATTAGCTGGTTCACCCCTAATTGAGCTGCAAACTGTACACCTTGCAGGGCAGCAAACATTTCTGCTCTAGTAGAGTCTCCCACTCCTAGAGGAACTGAGAAGATAAGTATCACATTCCCGACTTCATTCCTCAATACCCCACCTAACCCGGAAGGACCTGGGTTTCCTAGATTGCTTCCATCAAAATTCAACTTCAAGAAGCTTGCTGGAGGTGATGACCAGCTTGTTCTCACTTTAGTCTTGGAAGAGGAACAACTTGCCACTGCTTCCCAATTCCTCCAAATGTCATTAAAGGAGAATTGGTGAAACAAGTCCAAAGATTTCAGCCAATGAATCACCCTAACCAAGGCACAGTCCTTTATCTCTCGAAGGTTCCTTTCCTTCTCCAAAAGAGTTCTAGCATTCCTTTCTTCCCTGATTGTCCATATTAATGCAGCTCTTGCACACCTCCACATGATATTACTTCTTTTCTGTTGCCAAACAAAAGTAGAGGGATAAAAAAGCAGTCTTAAATCTGCTGGCAAGTTCCAACTGCTCCCAAACAAAAAGAGAAGCCAATTCCATAACCCTGCAGTAAAGGAACAAGAAATTAACAAATGATAACAGTCCTCACTCTGAGATCTGCACAGGATGCACCAGTTGGGGGAAATACAGAGAAAAGGTCTTCTCTTTTGTAAATTATCAAGGTATTTACTTTCCCATAGTACACTTCCCAACAGAATGCCAAAATCTTAGGGGGAACGGATGCACCAAACTTCCTTAACAGGGAAGGCCTGTTGAGGGTTAGAACAGCAAAGGGATTTGAAAAAAGAAGCACAAGAGAAAGATCCTTTCGATCGAGGTATCCAAATTCTTTTTGTTTGAATAGCAAAGGTGTTCAAACAAACTTTTTTCAAAACATGGTTTCAAATGTCGCTAATGTTGCCCGACATATGTTGATGTCGAGGCTCACCGACATGAAAATGGATGGTAATATAAAAATTACATTATTTCGGTTGACATTTCCTATATTTTGGAAATGTCGACCAAATTGGTCCAAATAACAAAAAAAAAAAAGACAGTTTTTCCTATTATGTCGGTAGGATGTCGATAATGTCGACAAGATGTCGACTAATGTACATTAATAATATAATATATTAGTATATTATATTATTATAATACAGTTTATTAATATAAATTATTCCATTAATAATTTCTATTTAATATTTATTAGTTAGTATTTTTTAAAATATTTATTAAAATCAGAAAATGTTTATTAAATTTTATAATAAATCATATTCTACATTTAATATAAAAATCAGAATAAATTTATTAAATTTTATACTAAATCATAATTTATTATAGGTTTAGTATTAAAAATCATAATAAATTCATTAAGTTTTATAAGAAATCAGAATTTATCATAATCTTAATACTACAAAAAGGAGAATCAGTTTATTAAATTTATGATAAAACATAATGTATCATAACTGTAATATTTAAAAAATCAAAATAAATGTATTCCTATTTACTAGTGTGAAATAAATATATTAGAATTTATAATAAATCAATATTAAATATAAGAAAATAAAATTCAGATAACCTTGTAAAAACATCAAAAWGCATAATAAATCAGTAAATCGTCGTTTACTAATTTGTTATTGATCTTAGTTTCTTAGCTTTATGTAATGGTTGGGAATAAGATAATAGTCTAGAAATATGTATTAATGCTTCTTTTATCATTTTACAAAATATCATTGCATATTTCCACRTATTTCATAATATTTCCACAATGTCTCTATTTTTTACAATATTTCCCCTCGACATTTCCGACATATGTCCTATATTTTGGTAAGCGACATTTTAAACCTTGTTTCAAAAAGGTAGAGTAAATTGACTAAGCACTCAATCTCCTCATCCCTTAAGCCTTTACAGAACCCAAAATCCCAAGGGATTTCCAATGAGGAGCAAAATTTGGAAACAACCTCTTTTTTGTATCGAGAAACTGAGAATAGGGAGGGGAAGAGATTTTTGAGGGGAACATCTCCAACCCAAATGCCCTCCCAAAAGAGGATGGAGTTGCCATCACACACATCACTCCTGATATGACTGAGGAACTGCGGAAGAATATTGTGCACTACCTTCCAAGGGGTTGCCGAAGTTGCCTGCCTTGATACACCAGCATCCCATCTATTCCCTGAGCATCCATGTATGCTTCCAATCACCTTATGCCACAACCTGACTCTCTCTAATGGCCACCTCCACAGTCACTTCACTAGTAAGGTTGTATTTTTCTGAATTAAGTTTCCTAGTCCCAAGCCCCCTTCCTCTTTACTCCAACACACCACCTCCCACTTAATTAAATGGTCTTTCCTATTTTCCCTTGGTTCCCAGAGAAAGTCTCTCATTAATTTTTCCAACTTCTTAGCTTCCCTAGTTGGGATCCTAAAGACAGAGAGATGGTAAGTTGGAAGGTTTGCAAATGTAGCTCTTATTAAGGTGATTCTTCTCCCCCTCCCCTCCAAGAGAGATGTAGTTCTTTTTCCATGAAGCCAATCTCTTATCAAACTTCTCTACAATTGGGCACTAGAACCTTCTCTCTTGAGGATTTGCTCCTAAAGGAAGCCCCAAATAGGTCAAAGGCCAAGTAGAAATAGAAGACTCTAAGCGCTCAGCAATAGTCTCCACTTCTCTTGACTCCAAATTAACCCCTGCAATGCAGCTCTTTTCAAAATTGATTTTCAA